AAAAAAAAAAAAAAACCCTGATCCATGTGAATTCTTCCTTTAGAAATTCCTCTCAGCTGTTGGGGATACTTTTCAAATTGTGGTGAAGTTACCAGCGAGGTTGTAACACCCTTTGAGTTGACCCCTTAAATTTTCAGATGTGACCGAGTCCCTACCATCTGCCCCCGAACAGAACATACGATCATTATAGCTGCAATTGGGGCAACTTTCAGTCTAGATATGGCCATAATGACCGTTCAACCACTTCAGGGGAAGACGACAGTGCTTTCGTCCCAGATGCAAGCGACCTTCCACACTGCTTTGGTGACCCAGGTGAGGCATTGATCGTGCAAGTGAGACAAAGTCCAAGGCGGTTGCCTTCATCTAGAAAGGGTTTTGAAAAAGGGGCTGTCTCAATACTTCTTGGCTTATGGGAATTCATGGGCGGGATTTCTCTCCATTAGAAGATAGGATGAGGATTCTGTTTTCTTTTTTTTTTCTTTTTTTTTTAACTACAGCCTACATGTATATATGCTTCTCTCAAATTAACTTCTTACTACCTACCTAGTACCTACCACTACTACTAAGCCTGTAAAGACGACCCTGGCAGAAATAGCTACCTCTCAAAATAAAGGGGATGCATGTTGCCCCGGACCCTATTTGGCAGAGGTCAGAGGTCAGGGAGTAGGGTCGGGTCGCTGGTTGGGGGGACCGGCTAATGCAAAGATCAAGCATTTTTCCGGTAGTTGTGCCTTCCATTCACTTCCCCTGTCCCCATCGAGTAACAACAGTGTCTCTAAGGCCAACACTTTCCCACATACCACACATGTCCCACACACACGCACACAAACACCTGTGTTGGCTAAAGACCCTACCGATACGGACCAGGAGGAGTGACCCAACTATCTCAGTTGGTTGGCACGAATGCAGCGTGCCCCAGGCGGTCAGTGGGGATTGAACCCACGACCTCCTGCATGCCTAACAAACTGAATCAGGCCACTTGCTGATTTTGTCCTTTGGGCACAGCAATTTCATTTTATTGTTTTTTTTTGGGGGGGGTAGAAAACAGGTCCTTATGCTCTGGGTTCCGCGTCCATTCTGGGGAGCATCAATCCGGTTCCTATCCATCTGCAAGTTGAAATAAAGAGAAGCACTACTATTTCCACACTTCCTTCCGTCTTAAGGGTGAAGGAAAGAAAACTCCCAGAGCTCACCAGTGCAAGGAACCCAACTGTTCATCACTTGCTGGAGTGAATCAGATCACATGCATTTCACTCGCGATTAACGACCACCTGAAATTTAAGAATGAAAGATTCTGAAGTGGTCTGAAACCGCTGAAATGGCCTGAAGACACTTCAGGTTATTTCAAAAGTTTAGGGTGGTTTGCAGGACAAGTTTTCTGGTTTTTTTTTTTTTTTTTTTTTTTTTTTTT